CTCATTATGTTGGTCTTATTCAGTAAAGTAAGAATTTTAAGGTAAGGCAATGTTCATCGGGCTAGCTCAATGCGTGGTAGCGAACTTCACATATCTTCGAACAATTTTTTTATTCTCAGAGATGCAGGTTCACGATGTTTTCCCTCACCGCCGAGCATGTGATAAATCAGCATATAAAATTGCAATTAAAACTTCGTTGGTACCTGCGAGAATCAAACCCGGGTTGCTCGCATACTGTGTAATTCACAGCGAGGGCTTAGCTCCTGACGATGTCAAATAAGACCAAAGTCGAAACATAAAATAAATTGAAAATATTTGGCAAACTAAACTCTGTCCAACCGTTTTTTGAAAGTACTTGTAGTTTAGTAGTTAAAAATGTTTTCGCATGCAAATATTTTTGGTAAAAGTGGGCACAAAAGGAGAAAGGCACTGTCCAAATGAATTGAAAATGCTCCACCCTCGTCTGATATAGCCTCCGCGGAGTTGAACTGCTCGAGCAATAAAACGACACGATGTTTTTGCTACGGGCTTCATCTAGTGTTAGGGTTGTCAACATGTCTTCGGGTTTTATTTTACGTACCATATAATTTATTAACTTTAAATTTTTTATACATAAATGCACCTTACATGCGTAGCAATACCTTTTTTTGTAATCAGGTGAATGGTATAGGAACGCAGTAAAAACGAAAAAGCAATTAAACAGTTATCTTTTTTGTCATCAGTTCCATTGTAATCGGATGAATAAACGCACAAATAAAGAATCAGTCATTTTCAGTCGGAAGAAGGAAGAGTGCAAGAAATAGAAAGAGAAAGATTAACAGAAGATCGAAGGAAACGATCTTGTGTAAAGGAAATTTATAGGAAACGGTAGGTAAATTCTGTAAGTGTACATAACCTACTTAGTACTTCACATTTAGAATAAAGTAAAAACTGACTTACAAATTATTAGTATTCAATATACATAGCCCTCTGTCATAATCAGTGGAGATTCTGACAGACTTTAAGAAAGCGGATTGGTAATAACTGTAAAATATTTCCTAACTGATACTTTTTACTTCACTGAAGAAATGATATTTAAAAATTAAATAGAAAACAAAATAAAATTATTGTAATTATTTTTAATGTAGCAACCCTGACTTGCAACATTACATTACAGAGTACATGTACATAGCTGCAGAGGACACACTGAAAATACTGACATGCTTGCTATCCGAAGATTCACTGCGAACCAAATTAAGCCGTTCACATAATAAAAATGTTGTTAGCTTTTTTCGGTGTATGCTATATTAAAATTGCCGATTTAAAAATCTGTTTCGTGATTTCGCTAATTTATTTAAGACTATCTTTTAACAACGACTTCTTCCGCGTAGAATTTAAATCAAAAAAATTGCAGATCTATACTATTGGTCTTTGTGGAAGTAGTTCAATTATCGAAAGACCACTTTAAACTCGTTTTTTTTTTGCTATTTATCTCGAAAACGATGAATAATAATATAGGAAAATGCTTTATTTGAAAATTGAAGACGTATTAATTTCACGTACCAAATGTCTTATTCTTTTATCTTTTAACAGTGTTATTGTTAAATAACGTGACCTTTTGTGTGCAAAATTGCAAACCAAAAAATTTTAACTTTTTTTTAAGAATTTTTTATATGTCATAAAATGTATGAAATATACATTTACAGACCATTTATTAAAAGATATTCCGAAGCTTAGATTATTGATAAGTCATCATATTGAAGTCATATTGATGACTTATCAATAATCTAAGTTCCGAAGATTAGCCCGAATAGACAGATAAAAATTAAAAAAATTAGTTGTTCATCAGATAAGACACTTCAATTTTATTGTATAGAAATTCAAGTTAGAATTTAATTTAAGTATAAGTTGTTATATTTTTTTAATCAGCGATCAGCATCGGTTAAGCCTAGGTAAGATCTATTTATGTAGCGTTCTTTAATCTTAAAGTAATTATTCAAGACCATTTATATCCTCAATCTTTCGATTTCTTAAAAAAAAATCTTCAAGTTTTTCGAATAAAACGTAGCCCAAATCACTTCTGGCATTTCTCTCTATCTGTTTGTGTTTTATTTTCATCGGTTCAGCCATTTCGAAGATTAGCCCGGCCGGACAGACGGACGGACAAAAATTTTAAAAATGGTTGTTTATATCTTAATAACATGCAAATAACCCGCTTAATAGAAGCCTGTTATCTCATTATTACAGACAGGACACTTCAATTTTATTTATATGTATAGATGTAATGGCAGTCACAAAACTTGTATAAGTTATCAATTACGCCGCAATTACTGTACAAATAACACTTATTAAACTGCCATGAGCCGTTATAGCTCAGATGGTTAGCGCTTGCTGTTAATTTCACAATTCACAGTACGCGAGCAACCCGGGTTTGATCTACGCCGGCACCAATGAAATTGTTAATTGCAATTTAAAGTGTTGATTTACCACGTGCTCGACGATGAAGGAAAACATCATGAGGAAACCAGCATGTCTGTGAAATAAGAAAAAAAATATTTCGAAGACATGTGAAGTTCGCCAAAACACTCTTGGGCAGCGCGGCGGACACTTCCTTGCACTAAAACCCTCTCAGAAATGAGAGGAGGCCTTTGCCCAGCAGTGGGACGTCTATAGGTAGTAACTTTAACTTTTTCAACTTTAAATTGCCGTTGTATTATGTTAAACATAATATGCTATTGCGGTTTTCGCTAAGCAGACAGACGAAAACCTCCAATCCAAGTTAATATTATATTTAACCACGCCAGCCCTAGTCTATGAAAATTAAAATTTAATAAAAGCTTAGTTCAAAGAACTAAACATAAGAAATTAATTTTCACTTAATGGATTTTGAAGACGATGCCAATAACTCCCCGATTTTAGAAGCTATTATTTGGAAATTATTTCATAATTTTCTTTCAAGTCGGCTTTTACTTTTTATTAAAAGTTTGATGTTTTGTACCTTTTGAGTGGACTACGAAATATCACAAGCTCAAGGTAACAATTAGAATGTCGTCTACATTAACATTTAACTTCATTCCCTATTGTACACCCTTAAGGATAGATATTTTCCAAATTTAACTGCTACCACTCCTAAAACCGTGTAGTAGCGGTACAGGGAGACTGGAACTGGAGATATCCATCAGCATCTTCCTGATAACAGCTCAATATAATTAAAAAAAAACTGCACCCACCTTTGAGGAAATCTATGAGGGAGGCCTATGTTCACCAGTAAATTTTTATAGGCTGTAATGGTAATGGCACGAATAAAAAACCGGCCAAATGCGAGTCGGACTCGCGCACCAAGGGTTCCGAACATATCCGTAGGTATATAAGTTTAAAATTATTAAAAATATTTTTATTATATGATGTAACTAAAAATTTATGCTTTTCGCAAGTTTTCCTTTATCTGTGCTATAATACGTTGCTTCGTACCAAATTTTAAGAGTTTGAGTTCATAGTAGTACCCGGTCTTGATTCCCTTGCGACTATCGAAAATTTGCGGCATAAACGGCTGTATCTTTTGATTGCGTTGGCTTAGAAGTTTGATTTTTTTAATAGCTTGAGTATTTTATTTGAATTTCAGCGTGACACCTCCACGCGTTCCTGCGAAAAAGGGTCTTAACAGACAGACAGACGGAAAACAGAGTGATCCTATAAGGGTTCCGTTTTTTTCCTTTTGCGGTACAGAACCTTAAAAAAGACAGAAGCAGCCATAAGGATTGCTGACAGAATTGTAAACTCAATAATATATGCGTATAGATGTATATAGGTCGCTATACCACTACGACGCGTAGTAGACATGCTCGTGACGTATCGCGCGCAAACCCATTATTTTTTCCCCTACCGAAAATCGCTCAACGCAGCTAAAGAAGCTTCCGGGCTTTCCGTTACCTCCCACTGTCAATCGCTTATTCCAATGTCTGGAGCTCCCGTCTGGTTGCGTTGACTTGATCATTTTTTTAATCGCTACGCTCGACAGGGAGATTGAAGATTTTAAATTAAAAATTTTTAGTTCTGCTGCACGTCACCGGTTGGGTTATTTTACGTCTGTCCTGTCTATACTCGAAACTCTTCACCGCTGCGCTGGAAGAGACTGGAAAGGACGGTATCAACATCAACTACATCACTCACCTTTAACTTGCCTATTATAGTTATAACGGCTTAATCGCTGGAGGACCTCAACATTATGCTAAATAACCGCATTAGAGTCACCCAATGGATAGATCTTAAAATGAAAGTATATGTCACAATGTCACATCTGTGCCGGTAGGTGTTAAAAGCATTACTCTCGAAGTTGTCGACGAGTATTTACCTAGGACAAATATTCCGAGTAGGTAAGTCCAACTTCGACCGAGAGGTCAATCGATGCATTCAACTCAGCTGGGCAGCGTTCGAGAGATTAGGACACATCTCGTCAGGTATACCTCAGAATTTGAAAACAAGATTGTACAACCAGCGTGCGTTACCAGTGATGACATATGGAACTGAGACGTGGTCCTTCACTGCTGGCCGGATGAGGAAGCTCAAGGTCGCTCAGCGAGCTATGGAGAGGGCTATGCTCGGAGTTTCTCTGCGTGATAAACTCAGAAATGAGGATATACACAGTATAATCAAAGTTACCGACATAACCAACGCATCAGTAATCTGAAATAGCAATAGGTCAGCCATATAGCTCGAAGAACCGACAAAAGATGGGAAAGAAAGATTTTCGAGTGGCAACCTTTTACCGGCAAGCGAAGTGTAGGGTGACCCTCTAGATTAAATAACATAAGAAATGCAAGTCGCTTGATGCAGGCAGCTCAGAACCATGTTTTGTGACATTCCTTGGAGGACGCCTATTAGCAGTGTACTTCTGATATGCTGCAGTGGTGATGGTGGTGGTTCGGTATAAAACAATATCTGGCATTATTTTTAAATTAAAAATAATCACTTTAATGACCTTAAGATTTAACTTATACTAAAAAAACTAAAATATCTTATGATCAATGTAATTTGAAACGTTTCGAGCAAATAATTAAATCGTCTCCCCCTCGCTTACACTTGAGAACGGTTATCGTTGATTGAACTGAAAAATAAAAATTCATCTTGAATTTCACAGAAAAAATAAAAATGCTTTATTAGTTTCGTTAAATCTGTGTAAAAATATACAAACCAGGGTACTCGCCAATAGACAAGTAATTTTTTGACATTTTTTTCTTTGAATTTCGCCTTCCTTTTCCACTATATTTTACCAAGCTCTTTGAGCCCAACATAAGAGCTGCTTCAAATATATTAAGTCTCTTTCTTAAAGCCATATTTGAAATAATAATTCGGCGCCATAGTAAACTCACTTTAACAGCATTGTGTAGGGATCCGTCATCTACATAACTGTAAAGATTAGAAAGTTCCTGTGAAAACGTAGTGATTATATACCCTTTATTTCTATGTACTTATTGTATATATATGCATATCTGTTCTCTCCAAATATATATCATGTACCTGTGTAATTATTTACTCTTAATGTCTCATCAAAATTTAAAATATATAAAAGTTAGAAGTAACAACAGACTATTACATAATTTTTGGATTTGTACAACTAATTTTACATATTTCATCGTGTTTAATTTGACTTTGGGTTTGAGGTGTTACCCACAGAGCTACGGAATTTTTACATTTCTTTTAAAAACTTTAACTCCGAGATAAAGTACGTTACCGCTTTAGATTATTTTTTATTTATCTATTTTAAGATATTGTCACAACTCCGTTTATATTTATATTTTTAAACCCCCGAAGAAAACAGAGGTTCTGACAGAGAGGTGTTATATTTGTAGTGTGTATCTATGTGTATCTCTGTGGTATTATAGCTCCTGAACGTACGAACCGATTTTTATTATATACTTTTTTGAATGGTGCCTTAGTCGACAGTGTTCTTTGTTGTGTTTCAAAAAATCTGTTTAGCCATTTGGTGATAATCAGCTCTTTTTATTTCGGGTGTTTTGAAAATTTTTAATTTTGATAAACTAGTTTTACCCGCAAATTTGCCGTGTAGTGGCGGTCAAGAATATCCACTACCCCATATCTTCCCGTGGGTGTCGTAAGAGGTGACAGTGGGAAACCGGCATGAGAGATGGGCAGCAGCGTCTTCCTGATAACAGCAAAATTACAATAAAAAAATTGCGGTTGCCAACCATGTTACTCTCATCATGGGGGTATTTGCCATAGTTGCTAAGCGTGGCAACTATGGCAAATACCCCCATGATGAGAGTAACAAAGAGACGGCCCCCAGTCCCCGGCGGCCCCGCTATTCCTGGCTACGCTGGCAACCATGATAACGGCAGGGCAGGGGGTGCTAAGAATCTCCGGTGGAGGTTCAGTTGCCACCTAAGACAACTCGACCTGGCAACATACAATGCACCCTGAGGACTGATGAGAAGATCGTGGAGCTGGAAGAAGAAATAGACAAGTTACGCCGGCATATTATAGGATTATCTAAGGTCCGAAGAGAAGGGGAGAACACGGTAATCCTCGAATCCGGCAACTTGCTCTATCACCGGGGGGGCGACCATTTGTCCCAAGGAGGTGTCGGATTTATAGTTCACAAGTCTCTCGTTAACAACGTTGTAAAGAATGAGAGTGTATCGACGAGGGTTGCGTACCTTATACTCAGAATCACCAAACGGTATTCGCTGAAGGTCATACAGGTTTACGCACCAACCTCGGCACATCCCGATGAGGAGGTGAAGGAAATGAATGAGGATATCGCTAGAGCCATGCATTCCTCCTAAACCCACTATACGGTGTTAATGGGAGACTTCAATGCAAAACTAGCACAAGAGAGAACGGTGTGCTAAAGGAAGGAAAATTTGGAATAGGGCAAAGGAACGCAAGGGGCCGGCAGCTGGCCGACTTCATGGAGAAAGAGAGACTCTTTATGATGAAATCTTTCTTCCAGAAGCGGCCCCACAGGAAGTGGACCTGGTCAAGCCCCGACGGTTCGACAAAAAATGAGGTTGACTTCATTATGACGACCAGACGACAACTGTTCAGTGATGTCTCCGTGATCACGAGGGTGAAAACTGCTAGCGATCACAGAATGGTTAGAAGCACACTAAACCTAAACGTTAAGTTGGAGAGGTGTCGTCTAATGAAGTCAACGCTCCGTCCCCCTCGTGCTCTATTCCAAAGTCCAGACCTTTCAGCTCGAGTTACAAAACCGTTTTCAGTGCCTAGAAGACTGCAATAAAGTGGACGATATGAATGACAAGATATGCGGTCGGAGCTAAGTTCTACAAGACCCGACGCAGAAGAACACAAAAACTCTCCGATCACACTCGTAATCTCATGGCTGTTAGACGGAAGATGAAACTACAGTCTACAACAGATTTGACAGCATACAGGCAACTGAACAGACAGATCTCCAAATGCATGCGGCGGGACTTACGCAACTTCAATACAACTTGTATTGAAGAAGCGATCGAGTGGAACCAAGGCTCTAAAGTCTTTGCCAGAGATCTGTCTACCAGAAAGAGCCAACTGTCAAAGCTAAAGACCGAGTGTGGCAGCATCGTTTCCAGGACACCTGAGATTTTGAGTGAGATTGAGAGGTTCTATGGGCAGTTGTACATGTCATAGTTGGAGCCACACGCAAGTGTGAGTAACGATCCAAGAGCGAATATATCCCGGACGTCAGTCTGAGTGAGATTAGAATGGCTCTCCAGCACCTTAAAACCGGCATGGCCCCAGGTGAGGATGGAATTACAACGGAGCTTTTGAAAGCGGGTGGAAAACCGGTACTTGAAGTCTTTCGGAAGCTCTTTAATTCCGTCCGCCATGGTGGCACTACTCCGGAGGCGTGGAGCAGAAGTGCGGTGGTCTTTTTCTTCGGTGGAAAGGTGACAACGCTCTTTTGAAGAACTACAGACCGATTTCCCTTCTGAGCCGCGTCTACGTGCTGTTTTCGAGAGTCATTACGAATCGTCTCGCACGCAGAGTTGACGACTTCCAGCCTCCCGAACAAGCTCGTTTCCGAAAAGGCTTTAGTACCATAGACCACATACACACCCTTCGGCAAATTGAACAGAAGACCGAAGAGTATAATCTGCCACTTAGGCTTGCGTATGTGGACTATGAGAAAGCCTTTGATTCCGTCGAATTTTGGACGGTTCTGCAGTCCCTTCAGCGGTACCAAGTTGACTGTCGGTATATCGAAGTCCTGAAGTGTTTGTACAGTAGGGCTACGATGGCTATCCGAGTACAGAATCAGAGTACGAAACCTATCCAACTGCAGAGAGGTGTAAGACAGGGTGCGTTATATCCCCGAAACTCTTCACCGCTGCATTGGAAGACGTTTTCAAGCTACTGGACTGCAAAGGATACGGTATCAACATCAATGGCGAGTACATCACTCACCTCCGATTTGCCGACGATATAGTCCTTATGGACATGATATAGTCCTTATGGGATGAACATGAACAAAACAAAAATCATGTTTAATGTCCATGTCACACCTATGCCGGTAGTTGTTGGTAGCACTAAGCTCGAAGTTGTTGAAGAGTATGTTTACCTGGGACAAATAGTCCGACTAGGTAAGTCCAATTTCGACCGAGAGGTCAATCGACAGATACAACTCGGCTGGGCAGCGCTCGGGAAACTACGACACATCTTCTCGTTAGACATAACTCAAAACCTAAAAACGAATTCGTATAACCAGTGCGTGTTGCCAGTGATGACTTACGGATCTGAGACGTGGTCCTTCACTGCTAGCCGTATGAGGAAGCTCAAGGTCGCTCAGCGAGCTATGGAGAGGGCTATTCTCGGGGTTTCTCTGCGTGATAAACTTAAAATTGAGGATATCCACAGTAGAACCAGAGTAACCGACATAGCCCAACGGATTAGTAATCAGAAGTGGCAGTGGGCCGGCCATATAGCTTTGGTAAGGTTGAGGCGTGGCCGAGCCTTGGTAAGGTTGAGGCTACACCGCTATAAGCTGCTGCTTCTTGGCGGATCTTGAGGCCGGACGGCCGGGCGCCGCCGAGCGTTAGGGAAACTTGATCCTGGGATAAGTAACATTTATTTAATAATTTCTGTATTTTAAATTTATGTAAAGACAAGTCAAGCATTGAAAAAGGTGTTTTGTTGGAAAATCGAATGCGTTTGCCTGAGCAACCTTTAGAATCGAAAGGAGATTCAAAAGAGTCCATACCGAGTTACCAAAGTGTTACCAAGTTATCAGTACAAGTTGAAGTTATTATCTGAAGCTAGAGGCAAGACTACCCATGCCGCAGCTCAGTATATGGTTCCGTGGAAAGGCGAATGGTGTCCCGACAGTTGTGCTGCATTTTTGTTGAAAGTGTATTCCGACTGAATATTTTTAATACATTTTCTTTTGTGTGTTACAGTAGCACGTGTGATGTGATTACATGTGCGCGTGTGTGAGGCGTGTGTGCCTTGCTTGTTGGAGCTGGACTGCTGGGTGCAGCTGTAACATGGCCTGGTTTCAGCGGACGCGTGTGCTGCACGTGTGGCGGGTGCCGTCCCGGAGCGCGCGCATGCTGTACATGGCAGTGCTGTAGGAAGCCTTGTTTTGTGAACATGCATCAGGCGTTGTCCGGGGGCGCTGTGTGCGCTGAAGTCGTGTTCTGTGAACATGCATCAGGCGCTGACCTGAGGCACTGTGAGCGCGGCGCCGTGTGCGCGAGCGCAGTGTGCGCGGAAGTCGTGTTTTTTTGAACATGCATCAGACGTTGTCCTGGCAGGCGCTGTCCTGGGTCGCTGTGTGCGATGCGCTGTGTGCGCGGCGCTGTGTGCGCGGAAGTCGTGTTTTCTGAACATGCATCAGGCGCTGTCCTGGCAGGCGCTGTCCTGGTTCACGTCTTTAACGTGGGAACTTGCAAGTTCAAGTAAGAGTATGTATAAGATACTTCGTATGGAGATGTATGCATACTTGTGCAAGCGAAGTTCTTTATTATAGTCTGTGGTATGAGAGCGTATTTCTGTTTGAGGGCCTCGTATGAGTGATGGATGAGAGAATAGGCAACGGTGTATGTTGTCTTGATAATTAATAACTTGTTTTTCACGCAGATCACGATGACTACAACCCCGACGATGCCTGTGAGATCTCGGGTGCTGCTCCCGTTGACGCTTCGAGTACGTGACGTGGCACAGCGTCTCGCTGGCGCTGGTGCGGCGCGACAGCTCGCTGTGCGAGTGCGGCACGCCCTGTGCTGTTGTTTTGGCCACGTGCGCTTGCATCATGACGGCTACCTATGGCATGTGCTGTGTTCTTTTAGCCACGTGCGCTTGCCTCATGGCAGCTAACTATGGCGTGTGCTGTGCTGTTTTAATAGCCACGTGCGCGTTTGGCTTATGCCTACGATTTATGGCATTTACTCTGTTTCCATTGAGTCATGTGGCCCTTACTGTTCTACGTGTGGCAGCTGCCGTTTCTTGTGACTGTGTGGTGAAATTTAGAAGTCCGGAACTCTATGGTTGGCAATACATTTATCTTTTGCAAATTTTAAACTTTTATATTGCAAAGCAGATTATTTATTTGTTTCATGCACCTGGAACTTTTTACATCTATTCCAATCTTAAATTACTTTGGTTATCTATTTTGTGAAACAAGTGTTAGATGCGCTTGAATGCACGCTGATGCATCTAACGTAGTATTTTGCTTGGACTGTTGTGTACTTAAAATTTTACATTAAAACTACTTGGAGTAAAATACAATATGAAAAAGGTTTCAGGTACTAATTAACGCTAACTTTGTACAGCCACTGAGAGGTATTCAAACTTGATACCTATGCCTACAGTGTTGAAGTCTGCGTGATACGCTAATTGTGCGCCTATGGTAACAGCCACTGAGGGGTATGCAAACTTGGTGCATATATTGTAGGGATAGCCTACAACATTGAAGCCTGGACAGCTCGCTAGTGCGAGTGCGCCGAGACAGCTCACTAGTGCGAGTGCGCCGAGACAGCTCACTAGTGCGAGTGCGCTGAGACAGCTCGCTAGTGCGAGTGCGCCGTGACAGCTCGCTAGTGCGAGTGCGCCAATGGTTGGCCTGCGTCTTCAGTGTATCTGTGATACGATCTGTGCTGTTTGTACAGTGTTCCTCTGAGAAGACTTGTGTTACCTGTAGCATGTGTTAAGCTCTAGTAGGAAGCTTTGTATACTAAAATCTGATTTGTATGATGTTTTCAATTCTGCAAAAACTTAGTCTGTATTTCATGGTCAGAAAAGGCCGAGACGGTAAAGTTACATTAAAGCCGGTAACGTTACTCTAGGCTTCACACGGGGACGTGTGAATTGTCAGGAAAGGCCGTGTTAGGAATGAGGGTAAAATAATAAAAGAAGATAAGATATGTTGAAGGTAGAATTATAATCTCCCACTTGTTTTAGAAATATAAAGTATCACACAGTCGACTAAGAGGGATCAGTCAGTCTGTAATTCTACGAGTCTCATATCGTTATTATGCCCATTGGGCTAAAACATTACTTCTACTCTGAGATTCTGCCCAAATAAGACAAGTGATGCGGTTCTATTCGTGTAGTAGTTCTTCTAGTGTAAGCAAGGAAGCTCGTGTTGCTGAGAGGCTGCCCGGTGTTACATCGAGAGAAGTAGTGTAGCTGTTGCTTTGCATACTTTGGTGTTATCATGTAATTATGTCCTTCACGTTACACCAATGTGTGATTGCGTCTGGTACATATTACGGTTGGTCGAACTGTATTTGCTCTATACTGAATGTATAGTGCTGTACGCTGTCTTATTTCTGATAATGATCAATTGCGTAAGCAAGAGAGCAAGTTGAACATCCGCTCTCACACTTTTATTATTTTTAACAATTAACCGTCAGAGTAAATTCTAATACGAGTAACATTATTTTATTTAAATCATTTTGAGAATAATTTCTAACATCAGAAGTGTAATAGTTTCTAATAATATTATATCAAAACTTTAAGAAATAGAAAATAAAGCGTAGAAACTTTTTTGTAGAATTGCAAACAAAGAAAGTTTTGTTTGATTTTTATATCTATTATAGAATATGAGATAATCATTAAAAACCATTAATTTTATTAGATTTTTTTTCATTTTACAAAAAAGTCGTTTAGCATGTTTTTAGATAAAATAAAGCCTAGATCACTCGTGGTATTGCTCTCCATCTATTTGTAAAGTTTAATTATAATCAGGTCAGCTATTCGGAGAGTCAGACCGGACTGACAGATAAGTACAAAAATAAAAAAATAGGTATGTACATCTTAAATAGCGTTCTAATAACTCCCCGAGCTTAATCGAAGCCAGTTATTTCAATATTACAGACAGACAGATACTTCAAATTTGTTTTGATATATGTACCTATAAATAACACAATGCTTTTATTCTTTAAAATTAAGACTATATCCATAATTATGGTTAAATAACGAATTTCGCCAATCAAATCATTTACTGAAGTGACAGTAAGATTCAATGGTTCTAAAACTTTTTATCAGATTGTTTGTTGACCCAATTGTTACATAATTCTCTCAAAAACTAAATGATACTATTCTGTCACGTTAGAACACTTGGACAGAACAAAATAATAAAAATATGTATGATAGTAAAACCATAATTACGTTACTTGCCAGTAAACAAAACTTAATATTGTTTTGATTTCAGAAATTATAAATGGCTTCAATTACTAAAATACTTTTTCACATTCAGGAAATTATGCCAAAACATGGACTCGCAACTTTCCATAAATCTTCACTTTATTACTTTTTAAAAACACTGGCCAACTTTAAAAATGGAATGAAAGCATCTAGTGTTATTGTGGTATTTAACGTTTGTAAAACTACCTCCAATTATTTCTACATTTAAAAATAACAACTAAATAAAAGGGAGAAATCTGGCTTTTAAAACTCACTTTCGTGTATTGTGATTGCAACAAATCTAAAGAAACTTACGTAAATATTTTCCACGACAATTCCAACGGCAAAGATGATACCGCGTCTAGTTTTTTCTCTTCAAATAATGTCAAGCCAAATACGAAAATTCCTGTGTCATTCATTTTGGACAGTTTTAGCAATCCGTACTATTTATTTGCTTGTTTCCCGCTATTTGTTAATGGAACTGTTAGTATCATTTATTGTGTGAATTCCTCCGTAAGTATTTAGTCGTTTAATTAAAATGTATATATCAAATTTTAGTGCATAAAAAGGGATAGGTATAATTTTTCACTAAATATTAAATAGTACTTGCTTGTGATGTTTGAATTGGATTTAAAATATAATCCACTTTAGCATCAACCGCGAGTCAGTAAGCTAAATAAAATAACCACTTATAAAAATAACCAGTGTAAAATTAGTCAAAAAGGATATTTTTTGAGATCATCATGTTGTATCGTATTATTTATATATATATGATGTGTTATTTTCAACCGACTCAAATTGGAGGAAGTTCTTAATTCACCTGAATATTTTTTATGTTTTTTTTTTATAGAATGGGGCTGACTAACGAGTACATAGTCCACCTGACGGTAAGTGGATGCTGTGGCCCATAAACATCTACATTTATCTTCGATAAAGGATCAAGTATGAAAATGGAGACGCGTTGTCACCCCTGAGGGTTAAATGTAATGCCTCGTTTCCAGTAAAAAGAGTCTCCAGTTCTCTACACTCACCGTAATAAACACAGCAGCATCAAGCTGTTATATTAGGTCTGTATTCTGTGAGAGCGTGGTCCTAATGATATCAATTAAAAGCTCTTTGGAGCCCCTTTTTCAACAGACTTAAAAAAAAGAAGGAAGATCTCAATTCGTCTAAATATTTTTTATATATGTTCAGCGATAATTCTTACCGCATTGTCTGATTTCAATGATGCTTCTGTTTGTTAAAAGTCTGTAGTGAGATGATTGAATCCATGAGAAAGTCACAAAACACTTTCATTTGCAAAGGCCCACGTTAACGAATTTCAATGGATATAATACCTATGAAATTGCCGTTCTGCAGTACTGGCCATTTCAAATCAAATTTGTTTGCCTAAGATTCTAATATCAAATCATAGACATAGAATATACTGGCGTAAGTGTATTCTATGTCTCAAATTAATTCTATTTGAGACGTGCCTTGCACTGCTCAGACATTTGAGCGCGTCTTGCCGTTATCAGCAAGACGCGCTCAATCCCTACCGGTTTTTAAGAAACATGTACATGATTACTTTTTTCAACTTTGATTCTATCTAGTTCATTTGTATATAATTATTCTACCTTCATTTAGTTACAATATTTGTTTATATGTATGGCACATTTATGTTATATGCAATAGTTTTAAAGTATATATTTGTACTTTTATATATTTTATTTATAAAAATATATATTTATTGTATATTTATACATATATATTAATAAGTTATATATGCATTTATCTTATCTATGTAGTTACTTATATACCATTATATATTTTTATTTTATGGCTTTAATAAAAATAATGTTATTTTGTCGCCAAACCACACACGTTTTTATTGTTTTCTTGCAATGCTGTCCATCCAAAGGTTGTCTGGAAAAGATCGCTCTTAGCGATAAGACCGCCCATTGTACCACATTTCTTTTTCTCATTTTTTGTTAATATTTTTGTTATTTTTTGGCGTACAATAAAGTGTTATCTATGTATGTATCTATCTATCTATCTATCTATCTATCTATCTATCAAGCACACAAACAGAATGATTCAACTCTGTATGAAATCCGAGAAACTTGCACACAATCATAATTTTATCTATGTGTGGATTGGACGTATAATAAATTAATTGTTTATTTATATTGATCCATTTTAAAAATTAGATACAAAAATACATATTATATCGGAAGAAACTGAAATTGTTAATTCTAATAAAAATAAAGTCGTTATACAGAACAAAGCAGGTGCAATATTCAGGTTTTCTGAAAACCAGAATAGAATCAAAATTTCTTTTAGGAAAAGCCCAAATTAGGGGCTTTTTAGGTGCTAATTAGGTACTAAGTTTAAAAATTAGTTGCTCTAAAATTTTTCATCGCAACGAACTGTTGAAATTTGCGTTGCTGCCAAAACGTATCGCTAGCAACGCATTGGCGATAATAGGTATACGATAAACATTAATAGCAAGGAATTAAGTGCTGAAAGATTATTGAGGTCGGATGTAGGTGACGGTAATATTCTGGGAATTATCGGGTCTAGGACCACCATTACCTTACTATAAGGTATGAACGGCATTTTTGTTCTTTATCAGGTATATGTTATAGATGAGATAGGTCGAATCTGTACTAAAACTAAATCAGAAGGCCCCGACTCCACGTAGTCGTATCTGCCCTACTCCTAGAGTGTTTTTGTAAAGCCGTCGGCGCGAAGGGAGAGTAGCCTCCGTCCGCTGCGGCAAATCGCAGGCATCTGTGCGAGCCGTAGAGGCTGAGTCCTGTCACCGAAGGCGACCAATAAGCTGAAGCTACGGAGGTGAGCATGGGTGCCTGTGATTTGCTACGCAAGGGCAAAGGGGCTGCACTGCCAAAGCCGTTGCAAAAGTAACTATGTCAATATTCCTGTGTAAAAAAGTGAGGTTATGATTTCACGAAAAAAAATTCTAATACATAAACTGTACATATTCACAATGGGGGATTTCCCAGAACCGATACATTTCGCTAGCAATGCAAATTTTAACAGTTCGTTGCGGTGAAAATTTTAGAGCACCTAATTTGAAACTTGGTTTCTAATTAACACCTAAAAAGCCCATAATTTTGAATTTTCTAAATGCAAATTCCCGACTTTGCGTTGCTGTTGACACACAACTTCTTCTTTACTCTACAAATCTTGTAACGATCGTCAAGACCGTTATTGTTACAGCCTATCAAAGTACACCGCTGAACTTAGGTCTCCGCTACAGACTGCATCATAGAGAGTATATTGAACATAATTAATTACCTTATATTAATTTTGCAGCCTTGAATCTTAGAAAGACAGACCTTTGTGAAAGCACATCAGCAAAATCCATTAAAATAATTGATAGAATCAGGCGTTACTTTGCGGAAATCCATTATAATGGGGTTGTTATAAACTAATTTGCTTAATTCCGCGTAAAGAAAGAAAAATGATGTGTCCTGCCCAGTTTTAAGGGAACATCCCACCCTCCCTCAATCGCGCGCACTATACCCGTCGCCGTTAATCCCAGCACTACCACCCCCAGCACACTAGGCACGACACACCACTCTCGAAAATACGACACGTGTTACGCCTCTACACGAGGCATCTTCAGGTGAAGTAGACTCTGCGGAGGCTGGCCGCTAAGTGAGCGGCTAGCCGAAACTTCTGCTATTTATACTACTTGCTGACGCAAGCGCGCTCCAATTACGTAGCGAGCGATTACGTCATGCAATCAATCACCGCCTGACGTACGCCGATATTTGCTGTGAAATTAACTATCAGGCAGTTATTTTGTTATTTTTTTTTTTTATAGGAGAGGGGGCAAACGAGCATGCGGCTCACCTGATGGTAAGTGACTACCGCCGCCCATGAACAACCGCAACACCAGGGGAATTGCAGATGCGTTGCCGGCCTTTTAAAAAGGAGTAGGCTCTTTTCTTGAAGGTCCCTAAGTCGTATCGGTCCGGAAAAATCCCTGGTGGTAAACTATTCCACAAGGAAGTTGTGCGAGGAAGAAAACATCTTCTAAATCGCACAGTGGTGGACCGCCAATCATCCAGATGGTGTGGATGGTATCGGGAGTTCTGCCGCGATGTGCGTTCGTGAAATTTGGCGGCTGGGATTAATCCGAACAATTCCTCAGAGCACTCCCCATGGTAGATGCGAAAGAAAATGCAAAGAGATGCAACATCTCTTCGCAGTGCCAATGAATCGAGCCGATCGGAAAGGGCTCGGTCGTCGACGATTCGAGCCGCTCTGCGCTGGATGCGGTCAAGTGGAAGGAGCTGGCACTGGGGAGCCCCTGCCCTGCTGTGAGGCCGAACCTGCGCCTTGTAAAGTTGCAGGCGGTGTGCCGGCATGAAATACTGTCCCGCTCTGCTGAGCACGCCAAGCTTTTTAGAGGCCAATTTGGCCTTCTCTTCCAAGTGACCACGAAACTGCACGTCACTCGATATGTCGACTCCGAGGATACCGATACTGGCTGAGGCAAGAAGGGGAGTGCCTTGAAACTGAGGAGATACGACAAAGGGGTTCTTTTTAGCGGTAAACGCGCAAACTTGTGTCTTCTGAGGATTAAACTGGACTAGATTTAGTCGCCCCCAATCCGAGACTTTGTCCAGCAAAGACTCGACTTCAGACACAAGTTTGTTCCGGTACTCGGCGACGTTTTCCCGAGAAATATTGGCCCGGCCGGTGTATAGAGCATCACCAGTGCTGTCATCCGCATAGCAATGAATGTTACCAGTTAGCAACATATCATTGATATGCAGAAGAAACAGCGTTGGTGATAGCACACAGCCTTGTGGAACACCAGCGTTAATAGGCTTGTAGTCAGAACATGCACCGTCTACAACGACCTTGATGCTCCGATCTGCAAGAAAGCTGGTGATCCAATTGCACAATTTCTCGGGAAGCCCATAGGAAGGCAGCTTCGAAAGAAGCGCTTTGTGCCAAACCCGATCAAAGGCCTTCGCAATGTCCAGACTAACGGCCAACGCCTCCCCCTTGGACTCTACTGCCTTCGCCCATCTATGGGTCAGGTAGACCAGAAGATCACCAGCTGATCGACCCCGACGAAAACCGTATTGGCGGTCACTAATCAGCTGGTGATCCTCAAGGTACCGGATGAGCTGGCAGTTAATAATGGATTCCATTATTTTGGAGAACAAGGAGGTGATCGCGATAGGCCTATAGTTGGACGGGTCTGAGCGGTCGCCTTTTTTAGGGATTGGGTGGACAAAAGCTGTCTTCCATGAATTCGGGACTACGCCTTGGGAGTAGGAGTACCGGAAAAGACGCGTTAGGACCGGTGCCAACTCCGGAGCACACGTCCTCAGCACAATTGGGGGGATTCCGTCAGGCCCACTCGACTTCTGGATGTCCAGGGAGAGAAGTGCTT